ATCTGGTCGGAGATTTCAGGGCCCTGACTCTCCTGTGGGGGAACTCCGGCCACCGCCGGGGGAGTAAAGCCGCCCTCTGGCGCCCCCTTCCTCCGCTTAGGCGGTGGCTGCCCTTCTGCTGGCAGCGGCTTCGACTCAGGAGCCACAGAAGCCGCGCCGGAGGGCAGAGACAGCTGCTCTCTGGCGCCACCTGGCGACCCGGCCTGGGAGCCCAGCGGACTCTGGTGCTTCGCGCCGATTGGTTGGCTGAGTTGCTGGGCTGGAAAAGCGCGGGAAACTCTAACGGTTTCCTCCGCAGGCGCTGCTTCCCCCTCAGCGGCCCTTTTGTCAGCCGCCTCTAGGCGGCTCCTCAGGGCATCCTTCTTCTCCTCGGCCTTCGGGGCTCCCTGGGAGGAGGGGGCTCTCGCCTTCAGCCTGGCCGCGGCTCTTCTGGCGGCCGACTTGGGCCCGCGGAGCCTTTCGGGGGACTCTGGTCCTCCTCCCCGCTCGGCCCTGCCGTTCCCGGGTCCGCCATTTTAGTTTCCGGACCAGGCAGGCTAGTTCCTGTACAGAACCTTTTGTGCCGCCGCGGCTTTATTTCTCTCTCAGCCGCTCTAGGCTTCCCCTGGGCACTCGTTCGTTGCCTGCGGGGCTCGGTGAGGAACCTGGACGGGATCGAGACAAAGGCGGCTACACCCAGCGGGCTGGGGGAGCCAACCTCGCCTTTTTGCCGTCTTGAGAAGGCTTCGGAGCCTTGTTATGCGGGGCCGTCAGAATCCGGGGAAACAATAACCGCGTCCCCTCCTCGAAGAGCTCCGTGTTCCACGGGTCTCTCGGCTGAGGGAAAAGACCGAGTCCGAAACTGGGCATGCGCAGGCTAGGGAGGCGTGGCCGAAAGTTTGATTGACTCTGGCTCAGAAGAAGCAGAGTTAACCCCTTCCTTTCTTTGGAGTCTCTGCTCAGCACACTGGAGGAGAACCACGTTTCCCAGAAAACTTTGCGAGAAGTGGAAGAATAGAATAGAATTAGAATAGAATAGAATAGAATAGAATAGAATAGAATAGAATAGAATAGAATAGAATAGAATAGAATAGAATATATGGAATGGAATAAGAATAGAATGGAATAGAATAGAATGGAATGGAATAGAATTGGATTAGAAATAGAATAGAATAAATAGTATATAGAAAAGAAAAATAGAATAAGGAATAGAATTAAAAATAGAAAAATAATAGTAGAATTAGAAATAGAATAGGAATGGAATGAAATAGGAATAGAATAGAAATAGGAATAGAATAAGAATAGAATAGGAATAGAAGTATTAAGAGCAACTGCGTTCTCTTCACTGGTGATGTAAAGCTATTCAACACCACAGACAATACCGCTACCCTTCGACTATGTATCAGAATGGTCAAACAAATGGCAACTTCAAATCTCAACAAATAAATGCTCTGTCTTACATATTGGGGAAAAAAATCAGAAAATAAAATACAAGCTGAATAGTCAAGATCTTGTTGATGATCCAAGCTTTGTAAAGGATCTTGGAGTAACTCATCTCTAATGACCTAAGTGCTAGAGCCCACTGTAGCTACATAGCCAAAAAGGCGTTAAAGAGTTGTTAACCTAATCCTACGTAGCTTTTTCTTTGGTAACATTACACTACTAACTAGGGCATACAAAACATTTGCTAGACCAATACTCGAATACACTCATCAATCTGGAACCCCCAACCCCCAAAACTTTAACCTTAGACTGTCTACTATTGACCTCACCCCTTTCCTAAGAGGTCTGTAGGGGGTGTGCATAAGCGCACCAATGTGCCCATAGTCCCTGTCCTATTGTTTCTTTTATATTTTTCTTATATGTACCCATTTCATGTATTCATAACTATGTATATACTTATACCTATTATCTTGTAAGCAATTGACAAACCAAATAAATAAATAAATAGAAATAGGAACAGGACAGAAATAGGAATTGAATAGAAATAGGAATAGAATAAGAATAGAAATGGAATGGAATAGAATAGAATGGAATGGAATTCTTTATTGGCCAACTGTGATTGGACACACAAGGAATTTGTCTTTGGTGCAGAAGCTTCTACAATGATGCTAAATAGCAATTAGCAGGAAGGAGGTTGGCTTAGATCAGTGGTCGCCAATTGTTGGGCCACGGGCCACTGGTGGACTGTGAGAAAATTTTGGTGGGCCGCAGAGAAATCTCACCCCCCAAAGCAATTAATCCAGGCTGTGCAGAAACACAAGGGCTGCGCAGCCCACATGGCCCGTGGGAACCCTCTCCGCCCACTCACTCCTTACCCAGCAAATTTGCCTGCTCAATTGCTATTTTTCCTTTTTCTGACCATCAGGTGTTCTTCTGTGCCGGGAGATTTAGATTAGCTAGGAAGCAGGAAACGGTTGGATTTCTTGCTTTCTAGCTAGTCTTTAGATCTTCCGCTCTGCTTTTAAGCAGAGCCGAACCTCCCTTAGGACTGAAGGTTCTATTATTCCAAGCAGACTCACGGAAAGCAAATTTGAGAGACTGAGCTAGCCGATGGCAGATAGATAGATCACTGAATGGTTCTGCGAGCAACTCAATCTGCCTGCCTGCTTTGGCTGATTTTGGGTAAAAGTTGCTCTTTTTTAATAAAAAATTCAATATTTATATAAATGTTTATAATATTTACATACAAGCCATGCCCAGCCAGTCACATCACCACCAAGCCACACCCACAAATTAGGCCACAGAACCAATTAGTGGTCCCCGGGATTTAAAATTATGAATTTGGTGGTCCCTGCGGTCCAAAAGGTTGGCGACCCCTAGCTTAGATGACCTCACTGATCCCCACCCTCCAAAACGACCAGGAACAGAGGCGAGAAGAGATCAAAATCAAAGAACCGGGGGGAGGGGATTGGAATTAGAAACTTGAAAAGCAGGATGGCGATAATGAAGGGGCAGGAAGGCTGTGCGATTGGGGAGGGGGGGGGCTGAGGGAGAGGAGAGCAGACCCCTTTCCCCTACCCCTCAAAGAGGGTCCCGGCATCCTCACTCACCTGCCTTCGATAATAGTGATCGGGTCGTTGGCTTCCAGCCTCAGCCAGCCGGGCTCCCCAAACGCACGAGTGGCCATTGTCTCTTTGGGACGGAGCTGCGTTCAAAAGAGACACAGCGTGGTCAGAAAAGGCAGGAGGGCCACATTCCCACTGCTAAGCGAGGCAGTCGTTAAGGGGACTCTGGGCCTGGCAAACTCTCTTCCTGCCGGATGTGTGGACTTCAGTTCCCAGAATCCCCAGCAGTGGTAACACAGGGGCACTGCTAAGAATTCTGGGAGTTGAAGTCTATGTATCTTCATAACTTAAACACAAGGTGGCTCCAAACGTGGCTCCTTTAAGACTTGTGGACTTCAACACCCAGCATTCCCCAGCTCACTGTGGAATTCTGGGAGTTGAAGTCCACATATTTTCATACCCTAAACCAAAGACCTCCAAACATGGCCGCTTTAAGACTTATGGACTTCAACACCCAGCATTCCCAAGCTTGCTATGGAATTCTGGGAGTTGAAGTCCACATATCTTCATCTCTTAAACCAAAGGCCTCCAAACCTGGCCATTTTAAGATTCATGGACTTCAATTCCCAGAATTCCACAGTCAGCTGGGAGTTGAAGTCCGCAAGTCTTAAAGGGGCCCCTGCCCTAAATTGGCCTGATGCCAGCCACCCAGCAGTCCCAACCTGGCCAATTGCTGGCCAGGCAGGAATCTAAAGATTTTGGGCACCAGGACACCCCCCATCCCAACTGTCGTCTGAACCCAGCCTCTCCTCTCACCTCCGACAACAAGTGGATGATTTCCCGGAATTTGGGCCTCTCTTCCGGGTTGTGAGCCCAGCATTTCAGTGCCAGGGCGTAGATGCCCCTGGGACAGTCCTCCGTTCGTTCTAAGCGGCCTCCTTCTCGGTCGATTTTGATCATGATCTGTTTTGTCGGGGGAGAGATGTCGGGAAAAAAATAAAATAAAACACCCAATTCAAGGTTAGGAGCACACAAAATCTGCCTACAAGCTCAAAAAGTCAAATTTTAATTTCTTTTAAAAAGATTTTTGCTGTCTTTCTTATTTTGATAAATAAGCCCGATATTTCTGCCTTTTCCTGTTTTCCCCACCACGACAACCCTGCGAGGTGGGTTTGGGCTGAGAAAGGGACTAGCCCAAAGTCCCCCAGCCCTTTTCATGCCTAAGGTGGGGTCTAGAATTCCCAACCTCTTGGGAATTGGCCCAAAGTCACCCAGTTGCTTTCATGCCTAAAGCGGGACTAGAACTCCCAATCTCCTGGTTTCTAGCCTGATGCTTCAATCACTGGACCAAACTGCTTCTAGATGGCAGCCGTCATCAAACCTCTGCCCATTTTTATGTCTGTTTTATGCATGAAAAAATAAACAAAGTGGAGGTTGATTAAAATGCGCCGTTGCCTGGCAGCCATCTTGACTTTTTTGCCCTCCCCTGACAATGCATCTCCACTCCCAGTGCCATATCGGAAAGCACGCAGCTTCTGAACCGCTCTCGTACTGGTCCAAAGCTGCCCAACCCGTTACCACCTCCTGAGGTTTTTACAAATGACAGATTCACAGAGTCGGAAGGGACCTTGGAGATCATCTAGTCCAACCCCGCTCTTCCCAAGCGGGAGACCTTACGCCATTTCTGACAGATGGCAGTCCAGTCTCTTCTTGAAAGCCTCCGGGGATGAAGCTCCCACGACTTCCGAAGGCGACTTCTGTTCCATTGAATACAGAATGCCAGAGTCGGAAGGGACCTTGTAGGTCATCTAGCCCAACCCCCACCTCCCCCACGTTCAAGCAACTTCTGTTCCATGGATCGATTTAGACTACAGTTCCCATCATCCCCCAGACAGGTTTTGCGCTCTAACCACTAGACCGCCCACCCCCTCTTGGTTCTTACCTGCCTGCCCGTCAAGCCCACCCACGGCTCCTCACAGTAGGAGAACATCTCCCAGAGTGTCACCCCAAACATCCAGACGTCCGAGGCGCTGGTGAAGATGCCCTGGCGCAGACTCTCGGGGGCGCACCTGGAAGGGCGGGGGGAAAAACGGTGGGGTCAGTCAACCTGGAGGGGCTTAGGGCAGGACCTTTCCAAGCTTGGCCCCTTTAAAAATTGTGGACTACAACTCCCAGAATTCCTCAGCCGGCCATTTTCCCCGCCCCCAACTTTGCTGAAGTCAAGATATAAATTACATTTACTGCATTCCCACCATCTATTATTAAGAAAATTACTCTATGGAAAAAAAAAATGTGCTAAAGTTGTCTATATTGACATGGCTTCTTGTCCTCCTATCCGCGCTGAATTCTGGGTAAATCTTTGCGGGCTGAGGAACTCTGGGAGTTGAAAGCCCATAGATAACAGATAATCAGAGTTGGAAGGGATCCTGTAGGTCATCTAGTCGAACCCCCCCGCCCAACCCTCCACCATTTCTGACCAATGGCAGTCCAGTCTCTTCTTGCAAGCCTCCAGGGATGAAGCTCCCACAACTTCTGTTCCACTGAATATAGAATGCCAGAGTCGGAAGGGACCTTGGAGGTCATCTAGTCCAACCCCCCTCTTCCCAAGCAGGAGGCCCCACACCATTTCTGACAAATGGCAGTCCAATCTCTTCTTGAAAAGCTTCCAGGGATGAAGCTCCCACAACTTCTGAATAACAGAATAATAACAGAGTCGGAAGGGTCCTTGGAGGTCATCTAGTCCAACCCCCCTTTTTCCCAAGCAGGTGACACTGCACATTTTTCTGGCAGATGTCAGTCTCAGTCTCTTCTTGAAAAGCTTCCAAGTATGAAGCTCCCATAACTTCTGAAGGCCACTTCTGTTTTTATTGAATATAGAATGCCAGAGTTGGAAGGCACCTTGGAGGTCATCTAGTCCAACACCCCCCTCCGCCCAAACGGGAGATCCTACAACCATTTCTGACAAATTCTGGGAGTTGAAGTCCACAAGCCTGAAAAGTTGCTTCGGGGAAGCCACCCTTAGCACAGCATGACATTATAAATCCGGATAAATAGAAAGCGGAAAATAAATTGGCAAGTCGAGATTCGCTCTTAAGCACAAACAAGCCATGATTTGCAAAGCGGGCCAGTCAAGAGGACATTCGGGGCGTTTCTCTGCTTCGGGGCATTTCTCTGCTTAGGAGACACCCCAAATATTTCACCCCTTCCCAGCTCAGATCTCCCCCTTAAATCCTGGTGTGGTACGTTCCGTCATTCAGGTCTCGACAGCTCACGGCAAGGCGCTAGTCCTCATGAGGGTTTAGCAGCTGCCCAAGGAGGGAAAGAGGCAGTTAAATCCTCCCCCCACCCCGCTTTGGGGAGCCTTACCAGGCAAAAGGGATGCGCCGGTGGGCGGACATGACGTAGCGGTCGCTCCTGCTGGACAGCGGGCGCATCAGGCCGAAATCGCCGATCTTGGCGTGGTCCTCGGACACCAGCAGGATGTTGCGGGTGGCCAGATCCCGGTGGACGAAGAGCTTGGACTCCAGGTAAGCCATGGCACCCGCCACTTGCATGGCATAGCTCCAGAGCTGGTGCAGAGGGAAGGGCTGCTGGAGACGGTCGTAGAGCGAGCCCAGCGTGGCCAACTCCGTCACCTGCCGAGAGGAAGAAGGTTGATCCCACAGGTCTCACGGATCTGTCGCCCCGTCTTCTGAACCCCCAAATAGCTCAGCGGAGGCTTGGAGTTCCCTGGGTCTTCAAACCCCACTCCCACCCCAAGGAAACGTTGGGAAGGAAACTAGAAAATTTAACAGAATATCAATTGGAAGGGACCGCAGAGGTCATCTAGCCCAACCCCCTGCTCAAATAGAGCACCCTTGAGGAAGAACAGAGTTGGAAGGGGGTCTTCGAGGTCATTTAGTCCAGTCCCCTGCTGAGAATATCAGAATAATAGGAGTTAGGAGGGGCTTTGGAGGTCATCTAGTCGAACCTCCTGCTCAAAATAACAGGAGTTATAAGGGACCTTGGTGGTCAGCTAGTCCAACCTCCTGCTGAGAATAACAATAACAGAGTTGGAAGGGACCTTGGTGGTCATCTAGTCCAACCCCCTTCTGAGAATAACAGAATAACAGAATTGGAAGGAGCCTTGGTGGTCATCTAGTTCAACCCGCTGCTCAGGAAGGAGACCCTTACAGAATAACCAAATCGGAAGGGACCCTGCAGGTCATCCAGCCCAACCCGCTTGCTCAAGCTGGAGACCCTACGCCATTCCACCCTCCAGAGTTGGAGCCCCTTACCCCACCCCTTACCATCTTGAGGGGCTGGGTGAGCACCACGCCATGGAGGCGGAGGAGATGGGGGTGATCCAGGTAGCACATGGCGTTGACCTCATTGAGGAAGTCAATCAGGGCCCCCGGGTCGGAGGAGACATCTGAACGCAACGTCTTCACGGCCACCGGGATCTAGGAGGAGGCAAAGGGAGGTTGGCTACCCGGCCAGGTGAGACATAACACTCTGGGATGCTACAGTTAGACAAAGGGATCACCTCTTGGTCTCCTTCGAATAGTGGATACTGGCTTTATATAGGGGGAAAGTTCTGGAAAGAGCAACGGGTGCGAAATACGATACAAGAACCTGGAATCAGGTGATTCTGGTGGGCTGAAAGATCTCAGTTGGTCGCCAATGGCTGATTGGGCTTTGCTTTTCTTTCAAAACCATCCATGGCTCAGGGCTGGGTCACCTGGTGGTGCCCTTTCCTTCTCCCCAATATTCCTGGCTATTCTGATCTGCAGAAGTCTTTTGGAAAATACAGGGAAGGACCTTTTTCCTGGGGGGGGGCGGGGGGGGCTGGGATGCAGAATATGCTCCGTGACAAACCGCAGCATTCTCCCCCCCCAGGCCACCCCAGGACACAGAGTCCTCGACTTACGACCGCAGTCGGAACGAGAACATCCATCACCAAGCCAGGCGGTTCTTAAGAGAGATTTACTCAAGTTTGACCACTTTCCTCCCTACGGCGGTTCAGCGAATCACTGAGGTCGTTAAGTGAGCCATGCGGTCGTTAAGCGAACACAGCACTCTCTCCCCACCCCCCACCCCCCACCCCAATTGACTTGCCAGCTGGGAAGGTGCACAAATGGCCGTCACACGACCCCCTAACCTAACCGTGGGGAAATGCAACGAGGGTCGTAAGTTTGAGGACCGGTTGTTGTTTTTTTGCCATTGTCACTTTGAACAGTCGTAAGTCGGGAGACTGCTTGGAATGGGAACGACGGCCAAAGACCGTCTCTTCGGTGAGTTCTCCAGTGGTCCTCCACTTAACGACCGCCATGGAGCCCCGCATTTCTGTCGCTACGAGAGACATTTTGCAAAGAGGCATTTCGCCCCTCTGTTACGACCTGTCCCCGGCGTTTAAGTGAATTGCTGCGACGGCCGTTCGTTCGGCGAATCCGGCGGCTTCCCACGTGGACTTCGCTCCTCCGAAGGTCGTAAAACGAGGATCATGTAACTCCGGGACGTCGCAGCAGTCCTAAGGAGGAGCTCGCGGCTACGCATCCAAATTTTGATAGAGGGGGTTGCTACGATGGCCGTTAAGTGTGAAAAACTGCCTTTTCCTTTAACTTTCAAAACCATCCATAGCTCAGCGCTGGATCACCTGGTGGTGCCCTTTCCCAATATTCCTGGCTATTCTGATCTGCTATTCTGACCTGGCGGGGGGGGGGTGATGGCTGTGAACTGCGGCAAGTTGAGGACTGCCGGTGACGGCGCTTACCAAGGTGCCGCCGGGCGCATGCCACTCAGCCCGGTGCACCACCCCGAAGCATCCGTCGCCCAGGCGCTCGCTGACGCGAAGATCCCACTCGCTGATCAAGCATTTGAGGGAGGCGTCCGTCTCCAGCCGGGGAGGGACCGGAGGCTGGGCGTTGGGGGTCTCCTCATTTTCGGGGCTTCGCACCCCTGTGAACATCTGGCAAGGATGTGGAAAAAGAGAGAGAGAGAGAGAGAGAAAGAGCATCGGTGCCTGTCATTGTCTGATAGTGCTTGTTCTGACTGAAGCCTCGTTCAAATCAAAGAAACCCCAAGTATATTTATTTTATTTTTATTTATTTTATTTTGTCAAGCGATTATTAGATAACAGGTATAAGTATAAACACGGTTATGAATACATGGATACACGTAAGAAAAATAAAAAGAAAGAATAGGACAGGGACGGTGTAAGTATAAACATGGTTATGAATACATGGATACATATAAAAATAAAAAATAAAAGAAACAATAGGACAAGGACGGTATATGTATAAACATAGTTATGAATACATGGATACATATAAGAAAAATAAAAAGAAACGATAGGACAGGGATGGTATAAGTATTAACATAGTTATGAATACATGGATACATGTAAGAAAAATATAAAGAAACAATAGGACAGGGACAGTATAAGTATAAACATGGTTATGAAATGGTCATGAAATGGATATGAATAAGAAAAAAGAAAGAAACAATAGAAGGAGGGAATGGAGAATGAATGAATGAATGAATGAATTGTTTATTGGCCAAGTGTGTTTAAAGGAAAGAAGGAAGGGGGGAAAGGGAAGGGATGGAGAAAAGGAAGGAAGGAAAGAAGGAAGGAGGGAGGGAGGGAGGGAGGAAAGAGAGAGGGAAAGAAAGAAAGAGAAAGAAAGAAAGAAAGAAAAGAAAAGGCAACTTGACTTGGAACCGCTGACGTCTCACCAGGAGACCTTTAACCCCATCAGACTTCCACATTTGTCTCTCCTGGGTCCTCGGGAAGGACTGGGGAGGGGGAGAAAAAGCCCAAATCCAGTCTCAACATCTGGATGGTTTGGAAAACCACCTATAATAATAATAATGCAGCTTTTGAGCCACACCGGCCCATCTTAGGTGTTTGGGAGGGGACTCCATAGGCAGTCCAAAAAATGCCGCATCCAGCCTGAACATCTGGCTCAGCGTGCAATGACCCATAATAGTGAGAGGCCCCTTGGGGGCGAGTCCCAAACATCTGGGAACATCCCTTGAACGCCGTCGGCATTGACCAAATTCAGCATCGGTCAATTGCAAAAAGGCGGCTCGGGGTTGGAAGAGCCGACACCCTCCAGGGGGTCCTTCAACCCCACCGCCAAACGTCTTGTCTCTCCCAGATGTTTGGGAAAGACTCCAGGGGTGGGGGAAACAGGCCAGATCCAGTCTCAACATCTGGCTGGTTTTGCAACTGGCCATAATAACAGAGCTTCCCTCCCTTAACGTCATCAGACAGTCATTACCACTCGACGGACTCGCAACCGGCTGGCAAACGCTACTCAACGAGTAGTCCTTAATGGGTCCAAGTCTACCTGGAGGGAAGTAAGCAGTGGGGTGCCACAAGGTTCCCTCTTAGGCCCAGGACTCTTCCGTATCTTCCTTAAGGACTTAGATGAGGGAATAGAAGGGAAATTTACCAAATTTGCAGGTGATACTAAGCGGGCAGGAATAGCCAACACCCAAGAAGACAGGCTCAAGATCCAGAGGGATCTTGACAGACTAGAACACTGGGCCGTATCTAATAAAATTAAATTCAATGTAGAGAAAAGGAAAGTCCTACACTTAGGCAAGAAAAACCCACAAGTACACACATAGACTGGGTGAAATCAGGCTCAGTAGCAGGAACTGGGAGAGGGATCTTGGAGTCTTAGTGGACAACCAGCTAAAGAGGAGCCAGCCGTGTGCAGCCGCAGCCGCCAAAAAAGCTAATGCAATCCTAAATTGTATTAACAGAGGGATACAATCAAGATCAAGGGAGGGACTTATACCACTCTGTAAAGCCTTAGTAAGGCCACACCTGGAGTACTGCATCCAGGTTTAGTCATCACACTATAAAAAAGGATGTTGAGACTCTGGAAAGAGTGCAGAGAAGAGCAATCAGGAGGATGAGGGGACTGGAGGAAGAAACATGTGAAGAACAGTTGCAGGAACCGGGCCTGGCTAGTCTAGGGAAGAGAAGGACCAGGGGAGACAGGAGAACCGTCTTCCAATATTTGAGGGCATGGGGGTTGGACTAGATGACCTACAAGGTCCCTTCCAACTCTATTAATCTGACTTTAATCTGATTTTAAGGAACAAAAGGACCAGGGGAGACAGGAGAGCAGCCTTCCAATAGTTGAGGGCAGGGCTTCCCCAGAGAGGAGGAAGGGGTCAAGCTATTCTCCAAGGCACCCAAAGGCCAGACAAGGAATCATGGATGGAAACTGAACAAAGACAGATTCAACCTGCAAATAAGGAGAAACTTTCTGACAGGGAGAACAACCAACCAATGGAACAGAAGTTGCCTTCAGAAGTTGTGGGAGCTGGATGCTTTCAAGAAGAGACTGGACTGCCCTCTGTCAGAAATGGTGTAGGGTCTCCTGCTTGGGCAGGGGGTTGGACTAGATGACCTTACAATGTACCTTCCCAACTCTGATGACCTGTTATCTGTTAGCCACATCTGCCTAGCTTAGGAGTTTGGGAAAGTGGGTAAACAGGCCAACTCCAGGTGGAACATCTGGCTGACTTTGCAACCCATTGCAATAACAGAGTTACCCTGTTTAACACCATCTGAACAGCCACATCTGCCTGACTTAGGGGGGTTTGGGAAGGACCAGAGAAGGGGAACCAAAATTAAAATAAAAACCCCAGTCTGAACATCTGGCTGGCTTGGAAAGCAACTTATAATAAATAAAAACACACCTTCCATTTCTGCAACGATACCTTTTATTTAACACATCAAAGAGCCACATCTGCCTGACTTAGGGGGTTTGGGAAGAATTGGAGAGGTGGATGAAAAGGCCGGTCTGGACATCTGGCTGGCTATTAAAAACAACCCAGCAACCAAAACAACAACAACCACAATAATCACGCACAAAATGTAATAAGCACATTCTACACTTCCTTCCCCAAACGCAGGCAGGAAAGGCATGTTTTCGTCGGCAACGGAGCCGAGCCGAGCCAGCTAGGCGTGTTTTAGTGCCCCGCAGGTGCAGCCAAAAAGACGATGGGCGGAAGGTCTTAAAGGCAAGGAAGGCCACACCGCGGTCGTGGGTGGCCGCCACCATGCGTGGTGGATGTGACACAGTCGTGAGGTCACAGCGCCAAATGACAGGGGACCGGGGGTGGCGGGGGCTTTGGCTCATTCGCCGTGGCAAATGGATGCCATGATGTGCATCGCTGGCACAACAGGGGTATAGGGGCGGGGGGGTTGTCTTCGGGGCTGGCTGAGATTGGCTCTTTTCTTGCGGACGTCTCCTGACCCAAGTAGGGAACAGCATCATTGCTAGAAAGGAAGGGGTGTTGTGTTGTTTTGCATTTCTAGCACCGATGATGATGTTCCTCAGTTGGGTCATGAAACGTCGGCCAGAAAATAGCCAAGGTCAGAAAGCACCAAGGACCCCACAGTTTTCCTCTTCCTCCTCCTCCTCCTCTTCTTTCTCTTCCTCCTCCTCTTCCTCCTTCTC